CTCTCTCTCTCTCTCTCTCTCTCTCTCTCTCTCTCTCTCTCTCTCTCTCTCTCTCTCTCTCTCTCTCCACACACCAAGATTTCAATCCTTCGAAGAGTTTATAGCAATGAGAATGTTCCCCTCAAGGTCAAAGGATACACCTCTACTGAGTTTCTTGGATGGATCAACAGTGCCTGGTTCATGCTTCTGTCGTGCTATTTTGGCAAATCTTGGAATTCTATTAGATTAAACAATTTGTTCTTACAATTATGACAGCCTTTATGATATGCATCATCTGAGCTCTAAAGTCTATGTTTCTTACTGCTGTTGCTGGTTGAGTCAATGCAGTTAGACATTTTAGAATGTTCTTGTTCGAAAAGCAATCTCTGGACCATTAACATAGTAATTAAGTAGACTTGTCTCATTTGTCACAGATCTTTTGATCTCTACTTTGATTGCTATTTAGAAAATTCTTCTAGCATGTAATGTTTATAAAAAATGATTTGTGATGAACTACATCTGGTCTTTGCAGGTTCAGCCACATAGTTTGATAGAAGCAGAACGCGACTATCTATCCATAACGAAGCGATACGTGAAGCTGTCAATATCACCTGAGTTCTCCAAGGTGGGGGTTAGGGGGAATTTGGTTATTGTTGCAACCCAGTTCAGATAACAAAACACACACCAATTGTACAAACTCTGCTTACAACATGCTCACTATCTGTTGTGTTCTCTTTTGATTTATTTGCAGCTTGTCTTGAGCTGGCCAAGGAAGAATATGGGTATTTCATTGCATACTCCTGTCAGGTATTCTGTATTACTTGTGTGCACGTTTGGTTACGACTCTCAAGATTGCTGCCTGTGGATTCTATTTATGATTGGCCCATATTCCCAATCTCTATCCCCATATTCCAAGTTTCTATGATATTTGGAGTTTTCAGCTTCGGATATTGTGTATGGTTCTTTTACTTGATGAGTGGTTATAGATCTTGTTTAATTGCGCTATGAGATTTCTCTACAAAGTCACTCAATAAATAGTCTGCTGCTTCATTGCATGGGCAGTTTTGAGCATGACGTGGTTGAAGTCAATGTAACGGATGATAAAAAAGAACCATCTATAAAAGCAGTGGATATGGGGAAACTTGCAAGTGGAAGTACATTATGGAATGCTAAGGTAATGTCTCAGATTTTGAAATTATTTCATAGCTCTTTTCAGAAAAGAGGAATTTCTTGAAGTTACTGCATATTGAGATCGCTGTGGTGTTTCATGGGGTTGTTTCTTCTTACTACAGTTGATGGATCAATTGAGTCTTGAATGAGCGAATTGGTCCAAAGTTAGATTAGATGGTGTCTGGGCATAAACGTTCGAAGTGAAATTTAGGGAAGGCTAGAGAAACGCAATATACATTATGTGGCCACAGATAAAGTTACATCACCTTCACAAAATGGCTAACTACCTTCACAAAATGCATCGCTATAAAGCGTAAATAATGAAGATGATGTGCTTCTGGGGTGGCCATATAGTGTTGAAAGTGTATAAAATACGACTGTTTACTTTTGGCATATGGAAGTGACTATCATTATCAACATTCAAGGGGTTGGGGATGTGTGTCATTGACTAGGCACGAAGTCTACAAATAATTTCTTGAACTATGTGACAGAACTGTAGATTGTCAGATTTCACGGATCGCTGAGAATGATTGTGACCTTTTTTTGCCTTCTTTTTCTCCCTTTAATGTTTTGTTTTGGGATAGAAGAATTTTGAGACAGAACAACAATGGGGGGAGTTTTGGAGTCTACATTTTGTACTTTTTATTTCTCTACAACTCCAAATTTGTGCGTTATTGTCCTTTTACTTCGAACTCTGTTTCAATTTGTTTAAATCTTTTAGTTGTCATGTAGAGTTTCTACTTGCCCACTTGCAGGTAGTTTTAATGAGCGGAATTGGCCCTGATGCACTGGCAGAGTTGTCCTCCGATAAAAGCTCTGATAACAGGATCTCACACTTCAATAATATCCTGAGGTTTGCTATTCTTAGAAAAGATCGTTGCTTTACAGCTGTTGGGGGACCATGGAATGGAACATTGGATGGTGGGGATCCATCAATGGATGATTCTGCTCTCATTCAAACAGCTCTAAGGTGAGTTCACTTCTGTTTTCATATATGACGTCCTTGTGGTAATCTATGTTTGTGGTTTAGTCTTCTCAACTTATTCTTACCGTACAGGCATACAATGGCAACAATCCAACTTGATTTGCATAACTGTCAGCATTGGAATCGTTTCCTGGAGGTATTCTCGGATCTTGTTTATGTTGATTACCTTAGTAGCCTGGCATCCGTCCTTGTAATTGGTTTTATGTACATGTGCATGTATCCTTTTTTGTTTTCCACAAATCTCCATACCCTTCAAATGCTGACATTGTATTAGGTGCAAAACTTTAACTAAATGCGCATCTGTTGATCTTGTAGTGTTCGTTGGATACTAGTCAACAAATAGAAAGAGAACCTGTATTGAAAAAATAATTTCTGTTACTGCTGAAGGAATTCTGTTTTTTCCTTTTTCTTTTTCCTGAGTTTTTTTTTGGGGTATGTTTGTTTTGTATATGTGATGCATTTAAGTGGCTGGCAAGCATCATATTTTCTGTTTTCATTGTATAATTGCTTCTGCAGATACACTATGACAGAATTGGGAAGGATGGGTTCTTTAGCCACAAAGAAATTACTGTACTATTTCTTCCAGACCTTTCAGATTGTCTTCCTTCATTGGATGCTTGGAGAAGCTTATGGCTTGCTCGGAGGAAGGAAAAAATTGAGAGAGAACGCCTATTGGCTCTAAAGGAGGTTTGTGCTTTGAATTTGGACTTGCATATGTTTTCAATTTTTATAGAGCATACTTTAGTGATTTTCCTGAGATTTTTTCTGTTCTTTGGTGATTTTGCAGAAAAATAGAACTCCTGAACTTTTTTCTTTTCTTTGGTGACTTTGCAGAAAAATAGATCTACTGAGAGAGACTCCAAGTCTGTGGAAAAAACTAAAAAGGAGGGTGCCGTTGAGGGTGAAAAAGATGTCAAATCCACTGAGGATGTTAAGATGGATATTGATACTGTGACGATTGCTAAGAATGATGACAAGAAACCTGAAGTTGGAGAAAAATCTGCGGAGGAGAAAGAAAAGGAAACAAATCCTGAAGAAAAACAGACTCTAAAAAAAGATGATGTGAAGAGTGAGGAAACCAACCAAATGGACAAGAAAGAACAAGCTGAAACTACTGATGGTCCAGCCACCGGGCCTGCAAGACCTGTGAAGAAAAAAATTATCAGAAGGGTACCAAAAGAAAAGGTCGCTGAGAAGAAAGAGAGTGCAGAGAACAATTTTGTTACACAAAATGAGAAACCAATAGAGGAGGTTGACGATAAAAAGGAGAAAATTGATATTGCGAAGCAGCAGGATGGAACTCCTGATGTACAGGCAAGTGAGACAAAGAATGCTTCAAAGAAGAGAGTCGTCAAGAAGGACCCCTTGACAAAGTTGGCAGAGAAGGAAGGCCAAAGTGGAGGTTCAGATGACAAGACAGCTGAGACCAAAGAAGAGAAACAGATGGATCCCATGGTCAAAATCGAACATGATGATGCTTTGAATGCACAGGGAATAGATGTTAAAAAAGAAAAGAAAAAAATCATCAAGAGGGTGTTTAAAAGGAAGGCTCCTGTGAAGGAAGAGAAGGTAGAGGATACGGATCAGGGTCAAGATCAAAGTAAAGATGAGGTAGAACACAAGGAAGATAAATTGGATAAGCAGGTAGTTACATTAACTAAAGTTGAGAAGAATGCAATGGGTAAGGAGGAATCTAAAATAAAGGCTTCTGAGAAGCATGAAGATCCAGGTGAGTGTGAAATGGAAAATGAAGAGAAAAATGGTAAGGATGAAAAGAAAGAACGTATGGCAGATGAAAAGTTGAAGGAGGGGAAGAAAATTGAGAAGCAAAGTAAAGAGATGGATGCTGCAAAGAATGAAGACCTGAAGAAGGATTCTGAAGATAACAAGAAAGGGAGATCAAAAGACGAGAAGGAGAAGAAAACCAAAGATACCAAAGATTCTACTGAAACTAAAGGAAAGGCATCTAAAGAGAAGGAGAAGGGAAAGCTGGATGAGCCTTCACAGCACTCGGGATTATTTCTTCGAACAAAATGGACCAAGGATGATTCTAAGGTAGGTTAAAAATAGTAAAAGTTTCATAAAAAATCTTAATTTTTGTTTCTTCATATATAGAATTAACATGTAACAGACATCCTCCTCATCTTCTGAAAACTTCTGTTTCAGCTTCGTTCTATTTCTATGTCACTTGATGGCCTTCTAGATTATAACGACAAGGATACTGAGGAGTCGACTTTTGAGGTCTGCACATTTTCTTGGTCTTTAACTTTTGCACATATCTTGGAAATCTATATGGCATTACTCCTCGCATATAAGTGACTGCTTCATGATTAATTAATATCAAGAAACCGATTTTGTGCTAATACTTCTTTCTCTGTTATCTATATATTTGGCAAACTTGTGATTAATGTTGTGCTGAACCCTTATGCATTATTACAAATGAAGCACAGTCGAATGCTTTCTTTGAACCTCAGTGAAGAATTATGTTTCAACATTTCCTCTCCTAAACACCTATGCTTATTTATGGAGTTCAAGGGGCATGTACTTGAATGCTCTGCATTGAAATTTTCTTTGAGTTACTGCTGCAGGACACTCGGTTTATAGGCGGCCTGTACTTTTTTTTTCTTTTGGGATGAAATTGGTACATGAAGCTGCTCAAAATTGGAAGTGATAACTTTATTTGGAAGAAATTATTTCTATCTGTTTCTTATGTATACACTTGGGCGCACTACTTGCAGCTTTCCTTATTTGCAGAGGTATTCTATGAAATGCTCCAGTATCAAATGGGAATACGCCTTCTTACTTTTCTCGAGGTCAGTTGTTGTAGTTATTTGTTTTCTTCTTCAGATTATTACTTTTCACCTCGAACAATATTTTTTTAAATCCTCTTTCTTTTGGTTTTCTGGTCCATTTTGGTTTTCATGCATAGAAATTGCACCATATGGTTGTGATGAAAAGGAAGGAACAGAAAAGACATCGTAGTGAAAGTCTTGAAAAGGAGAGCGCGGAAAAGAAATCCTCAAGCAAGCGTACAAAGATCTGTAATGAGCCTCCAGCTGAAGGTGAATCTGCAAAATCTGAAACAGTGGGTGGATATGATTTGGGTTCTGAACAACCACCTGTTAAAGAGGCTGGTTATAGAGATGACAAAGATAATGAAGCCACAATGGAGTGTAGTGAGGTTGAAGAGGACCCCGAGGAAGAGTTCGATGTTGATCATGAAGTGAATGATGTTGATCTTAATAACTCAATTCAGGAGGCAAGTGTTTCACCGAGAAAATATATTGTTCTCGAATTTTTTGTGACATGATATATTTGAAGTGTATTATGATAATCTAAAGTTTATATGGCTAATCTCATTTCGTTAGTCACGGCATTGGAATCCCAAAATTGAAAATGTGTCCCTTGAGGTCTTTTGTGAGGATCTGTTTTTGACCCCTTGCATTCTGATGAGCCAATCCTCCCCCACTTGTAGTTGCTAAACCCCTTATTGACAATATTAACTTAGATATTCTCTTAATCTGTACTTTTAATGGTAACGTTGGTATCTACATTGTCATGAAGTGCCTAATCTGTCATTGACAAAGTTCTCTCTCCTATGGTGTTCCTTTAAGAACCTGAATATGGCAAATATTTGACATTTGTGTTTTCCTGTAGATTCTATTTTTCTCATGTAAATCGTTTCAAATGAACACGGTACCACATTATTGCATGAACCTCTTTGGTCATAAGGGATGCCAGGACAGGGGACAGCTCCAGAACTGTAACACTGTTGTCTTCTTCTATCTCGACCTCAAATTTGTGTCTCATCGACTCCCCACTTTCTGGAGTCCTTTCAAATTTGGGTTCTTAGATTATACTTTGTTCATGTGTTATATTTGAGTTCTTCGAACCCAATGTTGTGTTATATGTAAATTAGCTTCGGGCCACTTTCCTCCATGCTTTAATTCCTAATCCATAATATATGATTGTTTTGTTACTTTTTAGTCATCTCCTAAATGTCCTACTAATAATTGCCTTGGTGCCATTTTGTCTTCTGATGTGTTGGAAGGTTATGCTTTATCCTCTGGCCTTTTTCTTTAAAATGGTCTTGATTGTCCTTCTAGGGATATGATGGAATGCTACATTCATCAAATATCTAATTATCCAAATATCTGTAGTGCATTTGATTACTTTTTGGTGTCCCTCAATCTTTAGTGTATCCCTGGATATACTTATAAATGAACTCTCTCCTCAATTTCAACTCAAACTTAGTGATATCTTCACACCTGAAAGTCAATGAACTGGAATATCCTGCCAATAGTCGACCTCTTAACTGCCTCCCAAAACGGTTGTCAAATGTTGAGAGAGTGTTTAACCAAGCATCACCCCAACACTAATTTTAGGCTGGTGTTACATGGTGACACCTGATTGTGTGAACTCTTCCCAGATATGGAGTCTTAAAATCAACTTCAAGCTTAAACTCCAGACATATTGCATAAAAGCGTTACCACTGTGCAAACTGCTGATATGTGTCCGACACAAGTAACATATTGTGTACATATATTTTCGTTCATAAAATTAAGTGTATGGATGGATGTGTCAGGCCGTAACAGCCTTTTGGGGCACAGAGGTAGACACCTTCAGCTTGTGCTGGACACCGACACTTGTGTTGGTATCTGTTTAACTCGGTTTCAAACTTCTTCTTGGATATTAGATCTAAATTGGTGTGATATTGCATGCAGGATGGAAGTGAGGGCAAAAATGATCAGGCGGTTGGAGAACCTGTTGACCAAAATGAAGATAAGAAGGCAAAAACACAAGAAGAAAATGAGGACAAAGGGGTCAAATCAGATGGCAAAACAGATGAAAGGAGTTTTGAGGATAAGAACAAAACTGATAAGAAGATGGATGCTCCCATTATGGAACCAATTGTTGTAGATAGAGAACTATTGCAGGTATCTTCTTGCTGTCCACATATTTGTACACTATGGAAATTATCTCATGGTGATAGTGCGGACTAGACAGGTCGGTCAGACTGGTCAAAACACCGACCAGGCTCTTTGCCTGTCCTGTATAGTCTCAAAACCTGTAGGTCCAGAAGCAGTGTTTAACTGGTCCAACCAGTTGGATCATTGGTTTGCTGGTTCTCGATAATCTTTTTAAAGCCCCTTCTATTCTGATCTTTTTCTCCTTTCAATTGTTTGGTTCATCTTTCCCGAGATCTTTTATTTTCTGAAGCCCATTTTTGGTGAGTTCTATTTATTTTTATTCTTCATCTGTGTCTTCCTGCGCTAGCGAACATATTAAGTCCTGCCCGTCAATTACAGGAGCACCAGGATACCTGCCAATCCTTAGAGATTTATTACCATTCGTGTTAGGTTTCTTGAGGAACTCTCTCTCTCTCTCTCTCTGAGGAATTCCCTCCCTACCTCCACCCTCGCGCCCCTCCCCTCAACCCGCCCCCTGCCGGGAGTCTCTCTGGTTCCAATTGCAATCATGAATATCCTACCTGGATCTTTTTGCTTAGAGTAGCATACCTCCACTGGAGCATACTGCCCATTAACACCCACTTGCAGAATATCTACTTATGGAGATTTTTTCTAGATTCACCAGATAAGTACTAGAAAAAAAAAGAAAAAAGAAAGAGAAAAGGATTTTGAGTACCTGGACACTTAGATATGTTTGTTAAAAAATTGGACAGCCTCTGTTCAATCTTAGGATATTATTATTTTTAGGCCATATAGAGTGCATATGACTCGATTATATTATTATTGTTATTTTGGTGTGATTGGTTGCTAGGTTGAGGAGGTTACATTCTAATCCTATGCGAGCATTTGGTTTTTGCTTTTACTATTATCCACAAATTTTCTTACTGTTGTAATATATTTTAATTTTATATATTTGATTTACAGTTTTTTATTTCTTGACTAATTTAGTTGAATTAACATTTCATGGATGTGCTCTTTTTTTTTAATGATTGGATTGGTTTGGACTGAACCAAACTCCCTGCTGGTTTGACCTTGTATCGGGCCTTGACAACACTGGTACACAATTCACTGCTGGGGCATTCACTGTATGTTTCTATGTTGGACAATGGAGAGTCCTAATGGTGGAAATCAGCCATGCAAGAATAACCTTCGCTGTCCATCATTAATAACAGACAGTGAATTCCCAGCTTTGCACTGGCTGTTTATGGTGTCCTCTCCTTTAAAAACATCCCTTGCTTTACGTTGTTTATATTTGTTGCTGAACCCTTTCCTGTCTTATTCTATTGAGCAGGTTTTCCGGTTTTTTGATCGAAATAGGGTGGGTTACATCAAGGTAAGATCGCCATGTGCCATTTTGCCCAGGTTTTTGTTTGTATTTGCCAAAATAATTGGTTCCATCTTATTTTTGCTTTGTTTACAGGTTGAAGATTTGCGCATGATCATCCATACCTTGGGGACGTTCCGTTCTAACAGGGATGTCAAGGTGGGCTTGGCCTTTTGTATCCCATCTTTTTATAGATTTAAAGTTATTGTTTCCTTCCAGTTCTTTCTTCTCTCCTTTGTATCCCATCCTTTTTTACCAATTTAATATTCTGTTCCTTCCATTTTTTTTTTCTTCTTCTAAATAGAGAACTCGCTTGAATAGAAGGTAATCACGGTATATGTGCGTGCAGGATCTAGTTCAAAGCGCATTGTTAGAGAGCAACACCGCAAGGGATAATCGGATTTTTTATGACAAGTTAGTAAGGCTGGGCAACCTCTGATTGAGTGCGTTGGGCGCGAGACTTCTATGTTTCACCAGATCATGAGAAACGTTCAAGTCATCGAAAACCAGAGACCCATTGGGATTTAGGGTACCCGAACATGACTCTCGTACAATCAGCAAGACCATTCTTTTTATGTGTGCGATGTTTCTCAAATGCGAGGATTTTCATGGTATATCTTAGCAGAAAATGTGTTGTTATCGAATGTTTTCATTTATTAATCCATTTTCTTTTCATAATAAGAGTGGGAGGATGACCGCCGGTTCATTTTTTTATTCCTTTTTATTACAAAATGAAAAGCTCACAAAAAAGGGCGCTACATGCAGTGCTTCAAAAAGTGCGGCTTGGTTGAATCTTTTATATATATATATTGTATAAAAGATAAAAATTAGGTATTTAGGGCGCATCATAATTCAAATTATACTATATATTAGCATTTAGCACACATTTTATAAGCAAATTTACAACTTATAAGTTGGATTATACTCTTTATTTAATTAAAACTTATAATTTACCAACCAACCAAATTATCAAACCAACTTACCAAATCAAATTAGTATTGCTGTACACCACCATGTGTAAGAAAACAAATTTGAATTATAAAACTTGAAGATTCAAAGTTCAAAACTTTAATCCAAGTACAAAGTTTAATAATTATTCAACATTCATCATTCATCATCAGAAAATTTTGGGTTAGCTGCATTTGTATTATATTCATCGGAGTCATCACCGTCTTCGACATATTGGTCGTTCTCCTTTGTCTTTTATGAATCTGCCTATTCTTCTTCATATTCTTTCACCTTTGTTCTCTGTGCAGAAGATTTAGTGGCTCTAGGAAGGTCAGCTGATGTCCTTGAAGCATCCATGACTATGTCCAATGTCAATCTTTTATGCCCATTGACTTCATCATCATCAACTAACCACTCCATAGATCTCTTTTAGCAAACCTGTTTTTCAAGTATCGATTGCACTTGACATAGACTAGGTCAGTGAGCCTATTTGATTCAAGCCTGTTCATTTTTTTTGTATTAATCTAACAAAATCAAATAAAACTAATTAAAATCTAATATTTATGGTTCATGTATTATTTATAAAATTATACAAATTACCCTTACAGCCTTACCCCTTCAAAAGTATTCCAATTGCGCTCACAACCGGATGCAGAAGTGGTTAGGTTTAAGATTCGAATGACCAATTTTTGTAAATTTGAAGAATTACACCCATGTTGGCTCTACCAATGGGTCGCAAAGATATAAAATAAAATCATAAGTAAATGATAGAATTACTTGATTACTTGAACTTAATGAACTTAATAATATTATTAATATCTGGATCAATTTTGGCCATTGAACTCCCAAAAGACTTTAATGAGCACTTGTAATTTATCAGCTCATCACCGCATATAATATCCTGCATATTAGGATCAGAGACTAGCACATCTACACACTTATTAAATCCATTTATAATTGTGTCATTTGTGTGTATATCATTGTCAACATAAAAAAAAAGCTTGGTTCAAATAATAACCAACTGTATGCAATGATCGATGTCGCTGTCTATCTCACTTCTCTTCAATAATCTCCCAAACAGGCTTGTAGCCGGTTTCATCATTGAAATTTTGGACTATCTCTCTTTTGCATTTCTCCATAGCTTCATATATGTAGCCCATAAAAGGCTTGTCACTATCAATCAACCATGCGAATGACTTTGATAGGAAGAAAAAATACCTTAAACGCTTTTCACCCCTTGCCAAAAAGCCTTAGAGAGGATAATATCTCTCACCTTCTTCCCAACCTGATCTTTAGTCCACTTGCATGCCTTCTAGTCATCTGAGGTAAACATCTGCCTCAAGTGCACTCTCCTTGAATGTATGCTATCTAGGCATAAGTACCAGATCGCAAATCTTGTGACCCCAGGCTTCACAATCTCTTTCTTCTTTGTAAAACTATGCATCATGCTGAGGGTGAGATGGTTGATATAAATGAAATTTGTAACTAATTTGGCCTTCTTCACTGCACCTGATATCTTGGTTAAACTGCCAAGAGCTTCAAGCATGAGGTATATACAATATGCTACACATGATGTCCAAAAGGTTATAGGATAAACTATGCGTAACAAATTAGCTGCAACAATATTATGAGCAAGATTGTCTGTGACAGCCTGAACAACAAGATGCTCCCCAACCTCCTTGATTCCGTTCTCTATAACTTGAAATATATAATGGGCACCATGGATCTGATAAGAGGTATTAATAGACTTCAAAAAAACAGTCCCTAAATGACAATTCATAAGCAAATTCATATTACTTCCTCTTCCTATCACTCCAAGCATCAGTCATAATAGAAACCCTATATTGAGCCCATGCATCATTCTTAACTTCTACAGGTTCCTTCGTGACACTCATCACTTTTTTTAAAAAAAGCTCTGAAAGCTCATATGGGATTAGGGGTTTCTTCTCAGGGCCAAATTGGCTAATTGCCTCTACCGCGGCATAGAAGCTGTTTAAGTGAGTTGTATTGAAATGAACATCCTGCTCATAAAACCATCTAGCAAGATAATAAGCAGCTCTATTTCTCTATTCCTTCTTGATTCTATTTTCAATGGTGGTTTGTTTCTTTATTTTCTCTCCTACAACCTCAAGGTCAGGTCGAGGTAAAAAACTATCTATAGGGTTTCTAACCCGAGGCTTTTTAGTCCCAGAACCAGAACCAAAAGCAATTACAACTCCCTTCCCCTTTCCCCTAATAATGGATTGTTCAACCTTTTGACATCCCTCTCCAATCATTTCCACATCACTATTATCATCATCATAATTAACCCGAACCTCAGACCTAATCTCTACTATAAAGGAAACTCTCTAATCTTTTTTCATTTTTACTATGCTAAAAAAATTGTTTATTTCCTCTTTAACAACAGTAGAACTCTTTTTACATGGGGCAACATCCCCCCTGATACCGGCAAGATGTTTCTTGAACCGGTTTATGCTCCATTTTATATCTTTATCACAAAACTTGCATCTCATACAATTTTTATCATTAGGATCTAGGTTTTAGCTATATTTCCAATCAGGATCACCAATCCTATTAGATCCCGAAGAAGACATCTAAAAAATAATGCAATTTACTAAACCAATGAAAAAAATCACTTACTTTGAGTTTGATTGCTCAATCTTCAAACTTCCACCTCAAAGATGTTTTAGAAACTCAAAATGTTCTACAAAACCCCCAAATAGATTTGCAAAACATCAAAAATTAAATGATGTTTTGATCAATTTTTGTTAACTTTGAGAAACCCTTCGATCTTAAAGAATTCACGAAAAACTAGTTTTTTGGGGCTTTTTCTCTCTAAAAAGGGCTCCAATAAGTTTTAGGTTTCAAATGAACTTAAAACCCAAATTTTTGGCTCTTTAGTATAAAAAAAATAGACAAAAAATGCCTCCACCGAAACCCATTTTTGCCTTTGGGCGGGGCGCAAGCCCTGGGCGGCCGCTCAAAGCTGGGCGCTAGGCTAGGCGGGTTCCGTACCGCTTAGGCGGCCTCCCGGTTTGGCCGCATAGGCCTGGGCGATGCGCCAGGCCTTTTTGACCGGCAGCCACCTAGGCGCTAGGTAATCCGCTTTTTGAATGACTGGCTGCCTGCAATGATTCATCACGAGATGTAAAGAGCTATTTATTTCATTATGAGTAGTTGGGAGGCATGTGAACCTTTAACGGATTGTCTACAAAAAGACTATTTATCTTGTATATATGGAGGTCACAATTATTCTTACTCATTAGATGTCAAATTTGATGGTTTGGGGTGAGTCACGAAATTTGAAAATTTATTTTTTAGAACTTTATGTTTATTCAATGACATTCTTACCACCACCTATTTTAAAATTTAAGAGATAAAAATGATTATAACGGTCTAGACAATCCCATAAAGTATATCCCACCATCATGACAAGTGAAACGATGATGACGCCTAGGAGCCATGTTTCCTCATGTAAAGATAACATGAACACACCGGTGTGCCATGTAGAATGCTCTCTTCTCGCATGACTCTCCATCACAACATTAAAAATGCAAAAATTAATAAAGAGCTGTTTATTTCATTCTGAATTTATGAAAATTAACTTGAATGTGCTCCTTTTCTCTTTGGGAGTAGTAAGAGTTAAACGAGAGGCATGATTGCATTCCAACCTCTAATCAAAAGCGTCATGGAACTGGGCCTCATGGAAGCTGGGAACCCAAATGGGTCATGTTTTAAGGGATGAGCAATTGTTTCATGCGGG